GAATGGGGTCCTTGATGGCTTGTGGTCCCCTCTAGCGGGAATCAAAGCTAACTAGAGTTCCCTCCAATTGGTATCCTCAGTGAATGAAGGGACCACTCACTGGAGACCCCACAAACTAAAAACACTGCTGACTGGGACCCAGCTCCCTGGATCACAGGAGTCCCTGCTGAATGGAGTTGCCTGTGACTGGAGTTCCCACTGACTGGCATCCCTATTGGCTTGTGTACCCACTGACTGGCATCCCCATTGTCTGGAGTTCCCACTGACTGGTATCCCTATTGGCTGGAGTTCCCACTGACTGGTATCCCTATTGGCTGGAGTTCCCACTGACTGGAATCTTTGCTGACTAAAGTCCCTGCTTACTGAGGTGCCATTGGCTGGACTCCATGCTGGCTGTGACACAGTCAGGTCTACTTATCTTAGCTGGCTGCCTTACCTCAAAGACTGGCATGGACAAATAGTGAAGGGAGACAAAAGAGAGAGTTTTATTTCCAACATAGGAGCAATCATTCAGACGTATACACACACACAAAGGAAATACAACCCAGAAAGTAGAAACTCTAATACTCTCAGTGGCAGCAGGATGCCATTCAAGAGAGACTGGGAGAGTTACAGCTGTCATCTTTCAGAGTCCCCCCAAAACCAGTGAAGAGCAGTCCTCTGTGGAGAGCAGTTCCCAGAAGCAGCAGGTCTCAGAGGGCAGAACTGTAGGTAATCCCCTCCACAGGAACAAGTCCCTCTGTTGTAGCTGCAGGTTGAGTTTTAGTGGATGGAGCAGGAATGTGCTCCCAGCCCGAGCTGGAGCATCAAGTCTGGGGTGGTCCATTTCTGGAAAGTCTTGAGGGCAGCACCAGCCTCCCTCCTCTTTCTTTTCTGACAAGCAGGGCAGTGTGTCCAACTGTGAACTCCCCAGTCTTCCTCTGATGTCAGGTCACCTGGGTACTAGGACACCAGCCAGAAACAGGAGCCACATGAGAGGAAGACTGGGAAAAGATAGACTTCCATGCTGCCTGGCTGGGCTTCTGCATGTGCTGAGATGGAGAGGCCAGTCAGAAGAAAGCCTGTCAAACCCAGAGAAGAGCAAGTCAAAGGCTGTTAAAACTGGGGTGGTGGGGTGGTTTCCAGCAGAGATACTGTCTGTCCCCTCTGTCCCTTCTATGTGGAAGAGGAAGCTGGGCAGGAGGGATGGGGGACTGTGTCCCCAGATTGCAGCTGAGGATTTGCCTGTATCCCAGTCTGGCAGCCAGGAGGATTGTTCCTTTTGTTCTTATTGATGCTGTTTATTTCCAGCTGTTTATTTTGCATCAATGGCCCTTCTCTCATCAACTGCAATTCCCTGTGAGACTCCCAGATGGCAGGAGTACTCCCATGTAGAAATCTCTACTATGTGTTACCTCCCTCCTAGACAAAGGAGGACTCTAACCAAGAAAGAAGAGCTCATAGCAAGCAGAATTTTCCACACCCCTCCTCTTGCAGCTCTGTGTGTCCACACAATGACGACACGATGACAACAGGATCATGGAGCTCAGTGTCACGTGGCTGGCCACATAAAATGCAAGAGAGCACAAGACTGGATGCTTCGTGACTGTGATCACCCTGCTCTGCACTGCTCTCCAAGCTGGTTCCTCTGAAACTTGGTTCTTCGTCACTTTCTCCCCCTGACTCTTTCCGATCTAACTACTAAATCCATCTCCATCATAACCAGGACCACACCTCCCTCACTACCTTCCTCTGCTCTCATTCTCTGTTAAGTATCTTTTGGCTCTTTACTAATTCTAGCTCAACATTTTAGGGTCTTCATGAGCAAGATAGTTTTATGTGTTCTAAATAAGGATATACAATCATTGTGCTTTTGGTTTTCAAAGAAAGTTTTTCAGCATCTAGGAAGAAAAAGTTTGTAAAAAAAAAAATGTCAGAAAGAAGAACAGACAGAGCCAGGCAGTGATGGTCCACGCCTTTAATCACGACAGTGAAGGCTGAGGCAAAAGGATCTCTGTGAGGGAGAGCCTGGTCTACAAAGCAAGTTCCAAGACAGCCTGAACTGTTACACAGAGAAACTCTGTCTCTAAAATCAAAACAAACAAGATAGCAGATAGAAAAAAAACCCTCACATTAGGGGTTGGCAAACATCAACTATAGAAGACTTGGGCAGCCCAGTTGGGAGAGTAAACAAAATATAACAGGATCAAGTCAGGAGGCACACAAACATCCAGCTGAAGTCATCTGGGGACAATTTTTGGGATAGCCACCTTGGAATCTGTTATGAGCTGCAGGATTATAGTAAGAATTCAGCTGACTATGGTAAAGCTATACCTGGAAAAATCAAGGCATTCTTCCCGAGGAATCCAAATCTCAAGGAGTATTCAGTATTATTCCACTTTTAATATATCAGCTATTTCCTGATGTGAATTTCATATGTGTTCATACTTCCCCAAGAACTTTTAACAGTGTATTTTACCTGAAATTCTTCTCGAGCATCCTAGGCCTAGGAGACAGGTGAACTTAGGTGCATAGCTTTGTTTCTTGTGCAAATGAAGCTCAAACCTTCCTTTCTCTCACAGCCCAAATGGCATCCCAGAGCAAGTGACTCAGAACACAAGGGTTCTTTGCACACCAGGTGCAATGTAGCTATGAGGCAGGTTTCCTAGCTCTGAGCAGAGTTATCCGCCCTGCCAGTGTATGGCGGCATAGGAAAATAGAGGCAGTTTTATTTTAGTGACTTAGAGACTCTTTTACCTAACCACCTGTAAGATTGTAGTTTCAGCACATTTATGATAGACTCATAATGTTTCCCCTAACCACTTATAAGAATATATTTTGGGCACATAGATTCCTTTTGTGACTTATTCCAGGCCTTATCTGACCCCACCTCCTCTATTCACTCCCCTTTGGGGTTGCAAATGAAGCTGGCTATCAGGGCTCTTGTAGGGACCTTGGAAGCTTTGCATTGGTTTGTAAGAGTCAGGCCGCAGGTAAGTGAGAGACCAGGACAGGAAGGGGAAGGAACCAAGATGGAGAAGAATGAGAACGGAGACAGAAAAGAGCTGGAGTTATGAGAGGACAGGAGGAGAAGGGACAGAATTGAAGCTGTGTAGATAGAATTTAATCTCAGAGGAATAAAGTGGCTGGATGAAAGAGCTCTGTGTACTTAGGTTCTTTTCCCTCAGAATATTCTCACCATTAGTAGTGTCTCTCCTGGGCCCCTGGGAAGGAAACTAAAGAGGCTGGACTTGCATAATTTCCGAAAGGAATCTAATTCAGCTTTCACTCGAATGAGCTTCCTGGGTGAAAATTCTGGCTTCTCATTCCCATTTTTACATCATGGGACAAACAGCAGTCAAATCTCTTGAAAACGGAAATGGACCTTCTAGTTGTTCTCAGAGACAATAATTTTACTCTTGGATTGTTTTGCTCTTATTTTTCCCCTTGTTTATGAATTGAGGGACCAGCACATACTCAAATACTAAGTACAGTAAGAAACTTTGAAACAAATATGCTTGGTTTTGAAGTTTAGGGGACTACAGTGGAGATCTGGACTAGTTAGGTCTCTTTTAGGATGACATAAGCTAGGGTCATCTAGAAAGAGGGAAACTCTGTTGAGGAAACTCCTCCATCAGAGAGCCTGTAGGCAAGTCTGGGGGCACATTTTGTTGATTAATGATGGATTTAGAGGGCACAGCCACTGTGGACAGGTTGTCCTAGGGGTATAAGGCAGGAAGCAGAACATGATCATGGGGATCAAGCCAGGAGAACACATTATTCCATGGTCTCTGCTTCAATTCCTGCCCATAGGTTTCTTCTCTATGTGTGTTCCAACCTTGGGTTTCCGTAATGACGGACTGTGATTGGGATATAAAAGACAAATAAATCCTGCACCCCAACAACATTACTTTTGGTCAGTGTTTCATCACAGCAACAGAAAGCAAATTAAGACAGAAAATTGCACCATGATTGTGGGGTTTTTGCTGTGATAGAGCTGACCATGCTGGCATGGGGAGGATTGTGGAAGTGTTTGGAACCCTGCACTGAGTCTGTTCTCAAAGCTTAATGGGCTGTCAGGTGGGGGGTGGCAGAGAAGAATGAGAGAAATGCATAGAATGGAAGCCTGGATGATGATGTTTGAGAGAGAAGCAGATGCTATCAGAGCCATTTAGTCTATATTTTGAACTAATAACCTATGGTTTCTCGTCAGCAAAACTGAAGATTCTGCTTTGATTAACAAGAGATCAGAACCATTAAGGAGAAACCTTGCTGAGTTGGGACAATTGATGCAACTTAGCTTTGGCTGAGACATCAGCGATGACTAAGAAGACACAGGCACCATGGAGCCAAGATCTCCTGAAAAGTATTTCCTCAGGGTCATCACACAGAAGCTGTGGTCCAGGGCTGGCAAGGGCTGCATCTCATGCTGGCAGCCAGAGTTGATAATGTATCAGAATTTCCCATGTGGACCTGGTGTTGGATGCATGAAAGCTGAAGGGTCAAAGGGCTGTGGAGAACAGCTGAGGCTCGGCGCTGTGAGAGGCCGTTTTTGAAGATGTAGCCTCCTTGCAGAGCAGACCCCAGCATGGTGGAGGAGCCAGGACTGTGGGATGACCAACAAGAATAGTGACGGGTGTGGCTTTAACCAGGCTGACCTGACAAGAGAGGACGTGTGTGCTGCAGACACCACATCACAGGAACACAAAGGAGGAGTGGAGCCCAGAGGAGCCCGAGGCATGGGCTTGGGATACTGAACCACAGCATCTGATTTACACAGGACATTGGTTTTGATTTGATTGTGACTGAGTCCTTGTTCTTCCCTCTTGGAGTAAGAAAGAATTTTAGTTGTTTTTGATGTTAGGGGACCTCACATCACACATTATCTAGATAGACCCTCCCAACTCATTGCACACCAAGAACCTAAAAATAATTGTCTCTACACAGGCCATGAGTAAAAGCATAGATAAATGCAAATATAGAAACGTACCTGGACCATGCCTCACACTTCTTGTCACCTCAGTGTCCCCTCACTTTGGGGGGTACACCTTCCTTGGACACCTTTTGTGGGATGACATGCAGCAGCATAGTCTGAGGATGTATGTCCGAATCCTCTTCTTCCATCCTGCCCAGCCCCTGGGCTGCAGGGAGCTTGAGGTTGAAGTTCTGCTCTGTTCTGGGCCACTTGAGGCCTTTTCTGACCAGGAGCTAGTAGAGAAGCTGGTATCTTCCACATCAATCACAATGTTTCTTGGTAAGTAAATACACGGCGCAGTCATAGAGCGCTTGTGACTTCTGCCCAGATTGGGTGTCTTCTCGGGCAGGTCAGGGTCATCCATCTCCTTCCTTTGACTCTGATTAGGGTTTTCTGTGGGCGAGACTAATATCCGAAGAGAAGGTTCACTGGCCCTTCTCCTGAGGGGCAGGGAAAACATGTCAGGGTCTTCAACAGAAGGGAAAGGTGTTGCCCCTGGGTTCATTACCTTTGTGTAGACATTACTGTCAGGGTCCTGGCATGCCTGATACCTCAGTAGGTAGTATACAGCCATGGTTTCATTGAATTTCCTGTGTTTTAAAGATTGTCTTATATCCTGGGCGTCAAACCCAATGTTTTGCATGGCTGCCATAATTTCAAGGTCTGGGCAGCTGGTGTCTCCATTGCAATGAATTGTAAACATCTTTTCCCCTTTCTGAAGCCATGGATGACCCATGAGGTCCCGCACAGTTGGCCTCTGCCTCGAATTCACTGTTAGTAATAGGCTGATCATGCTCCTTAAGTCTTTGGAAAGCTGATAGGGGATGTCATACCTCCCGTGCAGAACTTGTTCCCTGAGTTCTGACAAGGTGTCCCCTGCAAATGGGACAATCCCTGTCACCATATAATATAAGAGGACCCCCAAGGTCCAGACATCTGCTTTGGGGCCATCATAAGGGAAACCCAGGAAGACTTCAGGAGGAATGAACTGGAAGGCGCCACATGGCTTTTCCAGCTTTTGCCCAGGCCTGAATCTGACACCTAGGCCAAAGTCAATAATTTTCACCTTTCCGTGCTCATCCACTATGACATTGTCAGGCTTTAGGTCTCTATGAGCAATGCCTTCATCATGGCAGTAGCCTATGGCGCTAAACAGCTGAACTAATATGCTTCTAGCCTCATCTTCCTTCAGGCATCCAGACTTCTGGATGCGATTAAATAGCTGTTCTCCCTCAGCCACTTCCATAATTAAATAAATGTTCCATTCTGTTTCTATCACCTGCAGGAGGGAAACAATGTTAGGATGTCTGAGCATCCTCATGATGTCGACTTCAGACACTGGCGGCTCACACCACTTCTCCTGCTTCACCAGAGCTTTCACAGCGACTGTGGCGCCTGTGAGACGATGCAGGGCCAGCATGACCTTCGCACTGCCACCCTGGCCTAAGGCCTTCAGGATGGTGTACTGCCTGGTGAACACCTCTTCACCAAAGATGCTGGGCACGGTGCTGGGCTCTGAGGACTCCTCCTCCGTATCACTGGACATGGTTGGTAGTGATGCTGCGTCAAAGAGAAGGGGAGGGGAGGGAGACAGGAGATATAAGGGAATGTACAGAGACATGTGGAATGAAAGTCACAAAATCCTGGGCAAGAAAGTCAAAACAAAGGACAAAGTGTAAACCCCACCAACAAGTAGCTTTCAAATGAAGCACCTGTGGTGACATTTTGTATATGCTCTAACAAATAAAGCTTGTCTGGAGATCAGAAGGCAGAGCCAGCCACAGAGTTAGCCATACAGGCCAGGCAGTGGTGGCACACACCTTTAATTCCAGCACTCAGGAAGCAGATGCAAATGGATCTGTGATTTACATTACAGCCTGGTCTACATGAGATTAATCCAGTCTACAAGAGAAAGAGAGCTAGGTGGAGCCTTTATTCCCAGCACTAGGAAGGTTGAGACAGGCAGTGATATGGCTGGACAGAGAAAGGAATACAAGGTGGGAGGAGACTGGATTTCGGGCCCCCATTCAGCTGAGGACTCAGGGGCTTTCAGTCTGAGGATTCCTGGAGGCAGGATCTTCCCCTTTTGGCTCTGGAGTTGGCAGGGTGAGAAGTGGCTGTGGCTTGTTTCTTCTGATCTTTCAGCATTTAACTCAATATCTGGCTCTGGGTTTTTGTTATAAGACCAATTAGGATTTGTGCTATAAGCACTGAAGACACACACTGACAAAACCCAAACTCAACACCCAAACCAAGACCCAACTCACCATCCAATGAAGTCACAGCTCAGGAATGTTCTGGATGCTACTCGAACGACTGAAACAGGAATTGGGGAATAGGGAAAGAAGTGAATAGAACAAAAATGAGTGAGAAAAAGTATATGAAATAAAACAAAATTTTAAAACCAATAGCCCAAACCAAAGATCAGCTACTTAAGATATGAATCAATGAAATCCAAAGGAAGCCAGGACACCTCAAGAAATCAAAACAGAAACAGAAGCACTCGAAAACTCACAAAGGAAACAGAGGCAGACAGGCAAAAGTAAAAAGCAAACCAAACAAGAAGTATTTGAAAATCAAAACCAACCACAAGCCAAACAGGCATAAATGACACATGTCAGCTATACTAATGATCTATGAATAGTTCTGAAAAGGTTAAAACCAAAATAAATGACATGAAAATATAACAAAAATTTAAGTCAGCAAAAGTAAAGAAAAAAAAGCCCCAAACACAACCATTAAACACCAGAGAAAAATAAGAATATAAGCAGAAAAATAAATAGAACTAAAAACAGAAAACCAAGTGTCCAGGAGCTCGAGAGAGGCCTCATTCAGTAAAGAATTTCCCTTGCAAGCATGAGGTCCTGAGTTAGATGTAAAAGATCACTCCCCACCACAATAATGAGAACAAAGAATCACCCACACAAAACAGGCCTGGTGTCACCAGCTTTCACCTCAGCACACAGGTGACAGAGGCAGATCCTAGAGGCTCCTTGGCCAACCAGCCTAGCTTAAGTGGAGAAACACAGGTCAGCAAATGACTGCTTTGGAAATTAAGGCTGACACCCTACCTTTAGGGAGTCACTGATGGTGGAGCTCTGGCCTTCACCAGTAGCTGTACAAGGCCGACAGATGAACTCACACACATTCACACATACACAAGGATGTATATACACACAGCACACAGTCACACACACACAGAGCACACACACCTACACACAGTCACACACACACACACACACACACACACACACACACACACACACACACACTGCACACAACCTCACTAGAGATTAGTAAATCACACAGGCTAAAACTCCACCCACCTCTTATACCCACAGAAACCAGGCCAGGCCACACCATTATATCCGCTGGGTGGACTCTCACAATGGCTCCTCGTGAGGTCACAGTAGGACATGTGCAGGTCATGGCTGTGCAAAACTCACAGAAACGGAAAGGACTTAAAAGCTTCTGGCTCAGGTGGGCTCTGCAGAGTATCATTAGGCTTTAGAGATTAAAGCTGGGCACCATGGCTGAGGATCATCCACCCCCACACTGCTATCAGAACTGCTAAATACCCCACCGCCCCCACACTCAGGGCCACATGCAGATTCCCAGCAGTGTAGAGGAGCCAGGCATGGGATGGTGTCCTGGTGCCATTCCTGTTGTGGTGATAAAATACCCTGACAAAAAAGCGACATGGCAGAGAAGCTAGTTTATTTCAGTGTACAATTCCTGGTTATAGTCCATCATTGTGGGGAAATCAAGGCAGGAACCTCAAAGGATTAGTCCCATTTCATCTACAGTCAAGAGCAGAGAGAAATAAATGCTTACATGCTAGCTGTGGGAGGCCAGCTCCCACCTTTTTGAAGGGTTCTTTAGGAGGAAGAGAGAGGGATAAGAAAATATCAGATAGAAAAGGGGATGTAGCTGACGAGAAAAAAGACAGAAACACAGGATAGCTTAGGGAGGGCCTGGATCAATACCCAACAGCCTCGAAGGTTTATTCAAAAGGTTTCTTATAACATGTCAAGGGGAGAGGCAAAAGACCTCCCCCTTGCTAGATCAAAGCACATCGTACAGCCAAGTGCAAACCCTTCCAAACACCTGGTAAACATGCCCGTGGCCAAATCGTCTCCTTATGCAGCCCTGCTGGGTAAAGCAAGCTCAGGTTCTCTGAACCTGAGTAATTTGGGCCTCTACAGCTCACTTGATTTCTTCTGCTGGGTTCGATGTCTACTTTCTCACAGTCACTGATAGCATGTGTGTGTGTGTGTGTGTGTGTGTGTGTGTGTATGGTGGCAAGTGTGGAGCTGTACAAGTCTGATATGTAGCAGTCAGTCTGGGGAGAGCAGCAAGACTGGATGTCTCACAGTAAGGGAGATGTTGTGTATCGCTTGGGCTGATGCTTAGCCATGCATGGTGTTATTTGTGGGGCATGGGGTCCTCATGGTCTTCTATCCAGCACTGTATATGAGGCATGAAGGAACACACCATCTGATACCCAACAGTACTTGTGGGCAGGGACCCAGGGCTACTATCTGGTTGAACATGGCCCTAGAAGTTTTTCTGGGCAAATAGGAATGATCATCATGGCGTGTAGACTTACATTGTAGACTGGGGAGCTATAGGAGTGGAGGGTGAGTCTAACAGTGCCTGATGCTGGTACCTTATGGGGGAAGGAGAGGGTTCCTAAAGGGGCTGGTACCTAGTAGTTTAGGTGGGGCATGGGTGCTGTCCTACAAGGCCTGATACCTTATCATGTGTGAGGCAATGCAGGGGGCTGGTGAGCAGTCAGTAATGCTTGCACTGTATGAGCAACATGGACGGTGTGGTAGGGGTGAGTCTAACCAGACCTGAAATTTAGTAGTACATGGGAGGTCAGGCGGGAGCAGTGGGAACAAATAATCAGTAATATGTCTGGCCAAGTGGCAGGGCTGTGTTCATCAGGGCACGTTATGAATGTGTATTTGGAGCTGTGTGGGTCCGTGGTCCACTGTGGGATCACATAGCCTGATACACAGCAGTAAGTGTATGAGGATATGATTAGCCGGGTGTGATTAATACCACTGTTTGTTAGGGGCATTGTAGGTAGGATGTAGCCAGCACTGCTGGGTACCTATCACAAAATATGGGCTGGGAGGGGTCCCAGGGGACCTGATTTGTAGCAGTGTATGCAGAGCTGCAGGGGTTGTTGGGCAAGGCCTGATACCATGTGGGCTCTGGCTGTGGGGAAGCTGGCCAGCTCATGTAGCGTGTCTGTGTAGTGTGTGATATCCAGCAGTGTATGTGGGGCAGCGGATCAGAGAGATAGGGTTGTCCAGCAGGGCCTAGTGAAAACAGGATGCGTTGGGTGTCAGTGGGGGCATTGGCTTGTAACCAGGCCTTGTGTGCTGGTTTGAATGAGAATGGCCCCTACAGGCTCATTTGTTTGAACACTTGGTCCCCAGTCGGTGGAACTGTTGGGGAGTGTTAGGATGTGTTGGTGTGTTGGAAGAGGTGTCATTAGGGGTCGCCTTTGAATTTTCAAAGACTGGTGTGATTCCCAGTGTGACGCCTCTTTGCTTCCTCTTTGTGGATCCCGGTGTGAACTCTTAGTTACCCCATCCACCTACCCCAGTGTCCCTGCTCTGCCATCATAAACGTTAGCCACCTGGAACTGTAAGCCAATTAAACTCCTTGATTTATAAGTCGCCTTGGTGGTCATGGTGCTTTGTCACGGCAATAGAAAAGTAACTAAGACAACTGTATACACAGCATTTCATGTAGGATAGAGGGGAGGTGGCATTGTTTGCACTTACAACGAGGTTATGCCTGTCCAGCGTTAATAGTGGGATGCCCCGCGTGGCTTGATAAGACATATAGCATGTTAGGTGTCAGTGTGTGGAGGCTCTCTTGTAAGGCCCTGAATCTAACATTTCATGTGGGACCTAGGGCTACTCACCTTGACCTGAAACATAGCAGTGTATGTGGGGCCTCAGGAGGATTGGGTCTTCAGTGCAACCTGATTCCTAGCAGCGTACACGGAAGTCTGGTGGTAGGCTGTCCAGCGGGGCCTGATATGTAGACGTTTCTATGGTGTGGAGGAAGTGGGGGTGGGGCTAGCATAGCATGAAGTCTAACAGTATGTGAGACAACAGTGGGGAGCGGACAAGTCCAGTGCATCTAGGTTGGGAATCAGGCCCTCCTCTCCCCTCCATTTGCTCACATAATGTGGGAACCCACAGAGGTTTCCTAGTGAGATCTGAGCTTGCTTTTACCCCGCAGGCCTGCATAAGGGGATGGACTGACCACATGCGTGGTCACCAGGTGATTGGAAGGGTCTGCACTTGGCTGTGCTAAGGGGAGGTCTTTTGCTCCACCCCTTGGCATTTCTATAAACAGTCCTTTGGAAGACACAAAAGGGGCTGGTGGATAAGGAATCCAGGCCCTCCCGAGGCTATCCTGTGTTTCTATCTGTCTCTCTCCCCTCCATATGTCTATCTAAATATTTCTCTCTTCTCCCTACTCAAGAGTGCCCTGGGGAAAAAGTGGGGGCAGGTACCCCCACAATATAACACTACTTACCAGGACTTGATGAGTATAAGCCTTCCACCACTTCATGTAAAACACTAAATATCAACCCCTGCTGACCACCACACCCCTTTCACCTCTCTGCTTAAGCTATGGAGTACCAATACCTGATGCTACCCCAAACTGCATGCACTGTAAGATAGGAGGGCTACTGTACACTCTTGCAGTTTGGGTCCTTCTAGACCCCTCTCCCATCCTACCCCATTATTCCAGGTATCAGCCCCTACTGGACACGTTCCCCTCACTATCTCTGTCCAGAAACACACCGCTGTATTTCCAGACAGGCATCCCCTTACTGGATCCCCTCCCACCCTCACTGATGCCCTAAACACACTACAAGGGACCAGGTCCTGTTGGGCATCTGACTACCACACAACTTACATGCCCAGTGATCTGTCATGTCAGTGGTTCTCAACCCCTTTGGGGGGGGGTCACATATCAGATATTTACATTATGATTCAAAACAGTAGAAAAATTATAGTTAGGAAGTAGCAATGAAAATAATTTCATGGTTGGGGGGTC